TCAAACACTCTACATCACTAGCAATGCCCGTAGTTCACTTTTAACTTTTTTAGTTCATTTTTCAGGGTCTCAATACTTTTGTCTGAATAGGCCTGAGAGTGTGACCTTCCTACCTACCCCTCCTGTGTAGAAGGGTTTACAGGAGTGTGTAAGCATGTCTTTAAGCAGTTTGTTAGTTAAGATGGAGTCTTGCTAACTTTCATCTGAGAAGGCCTTCAAGCATGGTCCTTCTACTCTCTAACTCCCAAGTAGTAGAGATTACAAGAGTGAACCACCATGCCCAGCCAGAGAAAAATCACTTTTTTTTATTGTGAAAATACTGTACAGAGGGGTTACAATTACAAGGGCAAGATAATGAGTACATTTCTTATCAAGCGTTGTAGCCTCGAAAAATCACTTTTAAGAAGGGAATATTTCAGGTATGATACGCAGAATGAGAAATAGCCAGTGAGAGGAAGTGTGGCATGGTGGGCTGGAGCAGCTAAGCAAACTAAACAGCACTCAGAGCCCCCTAAGGCACAGCCTCCAGGGTTCAGTGAGGCTAGTAGACAGAGCCAGATGATGCAGACCTTGAGGGCTATGGTAATTAGTGTGCTTTGAAGTGCAATGGGAAGCAATCAAAAGTGTTTTAAGGAAAGTGTCATGAGCTTATTTGAGGTTGAGACTTCCATCTGTTCATCAAAATCTGTCTCTCTTTCCCAGGCATTCAGCCAGATTACATTTCCTGGCTCTCTTCATGGTTGGCTATGAGCCATGTAACTATATCCGATCCATGGAAATGCAGAAAAAGCAAATACCATGACTAGGGCTGGCTCCAGAGTCTCCCATGACAGCTTCCTCATGCTTTTCCCTTGCTGACTGGGCAGACTTGGGAACCCGTGTTGACATGGCACAGTCACTGTCAGTTTGGACCCCTGTGTGGCTCTGAGGAGCAGACCCTCACCTGGCACATTTTAGCTTTTATGTGTGTACCTGATGATTTGAACTCTTGGTTACCACATTCTGGTGGATCCAACTATGAGGGAAACAAATTGCTATACTATGTGAGATTGAGACAGTGTTCAAGAGTAGAGATGGAAGGGAAGGTTTACTTTGATGTGTTTTAGGGAGATTTCAGCTACAACAGATATTAGGTAATATTGGATGACCTAGCTGATACGTTTTGGATGACTTGTCTAATATGATCCTGCTGACAGTTGGCTGAAGTGAGATTATGAAAGAGAATAATCTTGCTTTGGCTTTCATGAACCGTAACACTGCCTAGCTGTGTAGCCCATGCCTTGTTGGATACCTTTAGGCATGTATTTTAGTTGACTGGATTTCAGGAACTGGACCGCAGACAAACCGTGTCCTTTAGGAATTTCTCATTTTCTGTGGTGTCTAGTATAGTTCTTAGTTCATGTACTTTTTCATTAACTTTTGTTTAAACTAATACATATATCTCTTGTTGGAAGTTATCTAACTCAGTGCCTTACTTTGTATGGTGTTGCTATAGAAAAAGATCAGCAACTGAGGACTTTGTAAAGGGAAGACGTTCATTTAGCTTTTGACTGTTAGGCCAAAGAATGTAATGCCTGTGTTGGTGTGTTGCGGAAACGCAGAACAGGAAACTGCTGAGTGGAGGAGGAGCCAAGCTTATGGGGGTGGTGCCTCATGGCAAATTTGGTCCTCTGAAACTGCATTAATCCCTGCAGAGGGTGAGGGCTCCATGGCTGGCCTAATCAGCTCCTTCCTTCCTTCCTTCCCTCCCTCCTTCCCTCCCTTTATTCCTTCCTTCCTTCCTCCCCTCCCTTCCTTCCTCCTCCTTCCCTTCCTCCTCTTTCCCTACCTCTCTTTCTTCTTCCTTCCTTCCTTCCTTTCTTTCTTTCTTTCTTTCTCTCTTTCTCTCTCTTCCTCCCTCTCTTTCCTTCCTTCTTTCTTTCTTTTTCTTTCTCTCTCTCCCTCCCTCTCTTTCTTTCCTTCTTTCTTTCTTTCCTTCTTTCCTTCTTTCTTGTTGTGGGGCTTGAACTCAGGGTCTGGGTACTGTCCCTAAGTTCTTCTGCTGGAGGCTAATGCTCTACCACTTTGAGCCACAGCTTCATTTCAGTTTTTTGAGTGGTCAATTGGAGAAAAGAGTCTCATGGGCATGGGAACTTCTCTGACCTGACTAGTATCAAACTGTGATCCCCTCAGATCTCAGCCTCCTGAGTAGCTAGGATTATACTCAAGAGCCACTAGCGCCTTATCTTTTAAAGGGCAGAAATGGTGAGGTCTTAACCTCTTCACCTCAAGCCTCTAAATACTGTTACATTCAGGTTTGAGTTTCCAGCACATGGCTTTTGGTGAATTCTCCTAAACCATGTTTGAGCCATAGCACTAAACTCTCCTCTGATGTTTTCTCAACCTCACTTAAACACAGTTTTCTTTCTTGTGGGAGACAGATATTTAGTCCTGTTATGTTTTGTTTCACTAGTGGTCTGTTAGGGAAAGCAACATCATGGGGCCTGGAACTGGAATGTTTACCTAGAATTGATTGAGACATGTTTTTAAAAGGCCCATGGGCTAAGCCTCATTGACCTCCCACTGCTTTCAAAAGACCTCTGTAGCTACTGCCTGTTCCTGAGTCACTGTGCAAGTTTCAATCCAGAGTCAGAATCTCATCTGGGAAAATCAGGATGCATGAAGAACTTCAAGATAAGGAAATTCAATAATTCAAATGGTGGTGAGGTGCATTCCTAAATAAGTGTCAGGGGAAACAGAAGGATGGAAAAAATGTAACAGTCTATAAAACATGGAGAATGAATGGATTTCTGGGCAAATAAAGACCTAGAGTAAAGATGAGCAATGGAGCATTTATGCTAATGAACTTCAACTTACAACTTAAATATATATTAATAGATTTATCAACAGACTGTTTCTAACATTCAGCAGTTATTTCTGTCCCAGAGGGGTAAGGGTTGATGAGACTGGATACTTGTAGCCTTGGAGATGTTATATTAACTTGTTATGTGTTTACTGTTAGTGTGCCAGGCTTTCAAATGTTTTATGGGCATTGTCAACTCTCCTTTGCTCTATAAGGTCAGTGAGTGCTGACATTGCTGATAATAGGAGATATAAGAATATGTTTGAAAGCTGGACAATGGTAGTTCACACCTGTAATTCCAGCTACTAAGGAAGCTAAGTTCTAGATGATCTCAGTTCAAAGCCAGCTCAGGCAGAAGAGTCCTTGAGACTCTATCTCCAAAATTAGCCGCAAAAATCTGAGCTGGAGGTATGACGTAAGTGGTAGAGTAGCCAAATGAGAAAACATGCCTAGCCAGTGTGAGACCCTGAGCTCAAATCCTGCTACTGGTAATAATAAAAAAAAGAACGTAGCTAGCATTAATCTTTTGACAGTAATAACAACTCTGGAGACAAAAGAATGAATGATGCAACTTAACAAACACCATGCACTTAGTATCTCAGGAATATAAGGAATTATCCAGATGAGGGAAAAATTACCCACCAAACTTAGGAATTAGAGTGTGTAATTGGAAGATTGGCATTACTATTAAATGCTCCTAACTCAGTGATGTCTTAGGTGAAGGCTAGGAGTTTGATCCAGAGGGTAAGAGTCAAATAGAGTGAAAGAGCTTTATAGCTAGATGCTCCCCATTGCTTCCCCCAGAAGCATGTTCTTTAGTGAGAGACAGCAACCTTCATTTCTGCTGCTTGACACTCAAGTGGCAGAGATACTGGAGTGCTGGTTTGAAGAAGCAGGAAACATTTCCCTTCTGTGCGTTCCAGGAAAGGGAGTGACCTCATCTGTAAATCTGAACATAAGGTAGGGCCCCAGGACCTGATTTAAAATACTCTAATTTAGTATTTCCAAAATAATTATAATTGATCCACTCACATTTTTAGCTACGTCACCTTGTTTTCAAAGAAATGCGCTGCGTTTTAACTTACTATTACATGTCAATGTATCATCTTTAAAGTAGAACTATGAGTTGGAACATTTTGACTGAATGTGCACTTCATATTTAAAGAACACATTGTGAATAGGGATACAGCTTGACCCATTGTAACAATGAGATGTCCAAGACACTATGTTGAAAATGAAATTTACAACTTTGGGAGGTGGAGGAAAGTGTAGTTGTGGAGGTAGGAGGGAAGGGATGATAGGGGAAAAACAAAGGAAGAGGCAACAATGATCAATAGGAAATGTACTCATTACCTTGCTCATGTGGCTGTAACCCCTCTGTACAGTATTTTTACAATAAAAAACATACAAAAGAACAAAAAAGGGACACATTGTGTTCACCTTCAGCTGTAGCATGGGGTTTATTCCTGGTGTTTTCAGAATAACCAAACGACGAAGTAGAGTTAGAAGACAGTTAATGGAAAGAGGGAAGGACTTGAAGGTACAGATGGGATTTTTAGCTTGAGCTCATACAGATTGAGGGGGAAAAGCATATAATGGAACTACGAAGAAAGACTAAGATAGGATAATATTGCATAAATTCTTAAAATGAACATATATTAGGAGTATAGGTGTCTACAGAAGCATAAAGACACCAAGAACTCATTTTTCTTACATGGTAGTGTATGGAAGGGAGATGTAAATGAGTCTTAAAAATAGCATTGATAGATAGAAGCTCCATGTGTTTTATTTTAAGTTTTTGTCACCTAAGATTTCTTTGGAAGATACAATACAGAGTACAATATACAAATATGGATCTTTTTTATACACTGATGAAATGAATGCATTGCATAATTTTCTTATTCTAAATCTGTGTGCACTTTGTATTCTACTTCATATGATTTATTTCTTCTTTCTGTCATACATGGATGTTTTTGCCTTTTATGAATTACTGGTGAGCAATAATAGCTTAACCTTTTAAACTTTAGTCATATGTGGAAAGAAAAATTAGTTTAGAAAAATTAGTTTCCAGAACTGTTCTTGCCATTAAAAAGATCTATTTGTGAGCTGAATATGATCATTTCTTTCAAAAATTAAATCTTTTTTTTGTTTTCTCCAGGCTGGAATGATAAAAAGTGGAAATGAAGAGTATTTCATTGAGCCCTTGGAAAGAGGCAAGCAGATGGAGGAGGAAAGAGGAAGGATTCATGTTGTCTACAAGAGATCAGCAGCCCAGCAGGCTCCCCTGGACATGTCTGGAGATTTCTACCCTAGAGGTAGGCATAAACAGAATCGATTTTTTTCTTTCTCTTTTCTTTTTTTATTACATTTTTTTAAATTCTGAAAATACTGTACAGAGGGGTTACAATTACATGGGCAAGATAATGAGTATATTTCTTATCAAGCACTGTAGCCTCTCCTTTGTTTCCCCTTCACATCCCTTCCTATCCTCCCCACCCCCCCCACCCAATCCTTCTCTCCCTCACCACCAAAGTTGTAAAGTTCATTTTTGACATAACAATTTTGTACATCTCATTGTTGCAATGGGTCCACCTGTACCCCATTTAAACAATTTGTTTTTTCCCTTCTCCTCCACAAATTATACTGACATACACAGCAACAAAGAAATAATCTTATAAATGTGTTAGAAACAATCACATGAAAAAAAAACATTTGAATACATATCTTAGGGTTCATTTCCCTAACATCAACTTATCTGACCTTTTCTGCTTGACTCAGACATATACTAGATATTGCAAATAAGGGAAACCATGGGACTTATGTTTCTTTGGGCCTGGCTTACTTCACTTAATATAATATTTTGCAAATCTTTCCATTTCCTAACAAATGGGGCAATGTCATGCCTTCTGATGGAGGCATAGAAACATAATCGATTTTTAAAAAAATATATAGTTTGTTTCTTTTTATTGTCTTTAGTTATACAAAGAGATTTCAAATCAATGTTAGTTTATAAATACAATGCATCTTGATCTGTGTCACCCCAGTCTCCCTCATCTCTCTATCTCCCCAAGACACAGTTTGAATGTGATAATGATGAAATCAGCTATCATATTAGTCAAGAGACTGGAGTTGTCATACATTCTTGTGTAATGTAGAGGTGCAAAGATAAATTTATATTTATAAATCATGAAGAATGGCTGGCTTTTCTTTTTTAAAGGAGTGCATGTTGTAGGTATTTTTCATTCATAGATCTTTTTAATTCCAGAACATTAGTATATCCTAGATACATTTTTAAAATGCTTTCTTTCAAAGGTTTGTATTTTCTAGTTTATGTTAAGATTGAAAAAATACTTAGGTTTTCTAGAAGTATCTAAATCGTTCTTAACTAAGATATATTGGCATAGCAGAGAGTTAGATTCTAAGACTCGAACAATAGATGCATAAGAGAGCAATTATAGTATTCGACCTCAGGGTCTGCTTTGTAAAAAGTTTTACTATTTGGAGTAAACATCAGTTGGAGAAAGATCAGTTGGAGGTTACAATCAGTACTCTTTAAAATAGGCTTCCACCAGTAAAGTCAAATCAGTCCTGGCTTTCTGTTTGCATTTTTCTCTTCTTAAAACATAAGTTGTAATGAAATAGGAAAATAAGTTGATATTAAGGAGATAATCTTTTATATATATATATCTTTATTGTAAAGATACTATACAGAGGAGTTACAGTTACATGAGTAAGGTAATGAGTACTTTTCCTATCAAGCATTGTTACTCCCTCCTTTGTTTTTCCCCTATCCCTTCCCTCTCCACCTCCCCAATTTCTCCCTCCTCTCCTCCACCAAAGTTGTACATTCATTTTCAACATAGTGTCTTGTACATCTCATTGTTACAATGGGTCAACCTGTATCCTTATTTCAGCATTTTGTTATTTCTCCTCCCGTCCCCAAATTAGAAAAATGTATATACAAGATGCAGGGCACTGGAATCAAATAGTGAAAACAGGATTTATACTGTGGGGGAGGAACATACAAAAGAAACAAAAAAATCACATAGTACATTGTAAGTACATTAAAAACAATAGCAAGAAAGATAAAACCTCTTGTGTCCCTATCTTGGAGTTCATTTTGCTTAGCATCATCTTATATGGTCATATGTACATAGCTTTTGACCTTTTCTGCTTGTCCTAGACATATACTAATTATTGCAGATAAGGGATAAGACCTATGTTTCTTTGGGAAAGGAGATATTCTTTATATATATATACATATTATTAGAAAAATACTGTATAGACCGGGTATAGTTACATAAGTAAGGTAATGAGTACATTTCTTATCAAGCATTGTTACCTCCTCCTGGGAAAGGAGATATTCTTATGTTAGATAATACAAATTTTCTTTAGGGAGAAAAGAATGACATGACATTTGTGATTTGATTATATGTATAGATTTATATATATGGGTGTGAATGTATATTATTTTTCTTCCCTACATCTGTCTCATCTATAATGTGTATGTATGTATGATGTTACAGGCTGGCTATATGTTAGATATAAATACAAATATGTATATTTCTATTATGTATATGTATTATATCATGCATATTATGTACACATATTGTAATTAATATTCATTATAGAAATATATAATGTATATATGGAAAGAGACAGATATACAGACAGATATATATATATATATACATGTGTGTATGCGTGTTTATATATATATATTTTCATGAAATCTCCAGTCTATATTACTTTTACCAGGGTCACTTTCTAAGGAAATTTTCTTGTGTCATATGCAAAGAGCATAAATGATCATCTCAGTTCAGTAATTTATCTTCTAGACAAACTCCTTTTGGGAGTTGCTGCCTAGTTTCTAGTTTGATTTTCAGATACTACCAGCTTCCCTGCTCTTATAATAGGACAGTGTGCTTAATTATATTCAAAACGAACACAGCTTGAGAATTTTTAAGAATTGAAACAGGATTGTGTTAATAAATACAGAGTTATAACGTGTGCCTAACTCAGAGTTACTCAGGTATAACAGAACTGGAGTCAGTTTTGCTTCCCAGTTAGACTCACTGTGAATAATACCTTTGTAACATCAGGTGTTTTATTTTTTTTTAATTCTCCAAGCCTTAATTTCTTATGCATTGGCCCATTATTATAATCATTAGAAACAGTATATGGTGAGTGCTGATTGTAACCTCCAACAACATTATGCTTGCCTTATTATTACACTAACTCTAATAGTTACCTTGTGACCAAGATTTGCATGGTAGGAGGTTTTGTTAAAGTTGAGCAGTTTGACATTGCTTGTCTTAATGTTGTCAATACATAGCTTTTAATTCTCAGTTATGACTTCCAGTTTTAAAAGTATAATTCTAAATTAGAACACTGATTATATCAAAGTATAGACAATATGCAGTGCTCTTTAAATCTTAGTTTTTACTGAAATATCTAATATTTGTAATATCACTTTTTGAGATAATAAATACCTTTCAGAAAATCACAGCCCTCCTTTAGGGAATTGTACAGGAAAACTGAAAGCTAGACCTTTCCCTATGGCTCTCCTTTTCTTTTTTCTATCTGTTATAGACACAGACCCACCAGGCTGTCCTGTTACTCTATTTCAGCACCCCAAGGTATCCATTTTAATAAATATTCCTGCAACTTTTCATTTTAGAAAAGAGAAATTACTTTTGCTTTGAACTACCAACAAAATTAGAATGGAACAGGAAAGGGCTGGGAACTAAGCCCATAGATAGACCATTTGCCCAACATGCACAAGGCCCTGGGTTTGATGACCTGCATTGCCTCTCCTCCCCTCCAAAGAGTAAAACTAGAATTGGAAAGACAATCAATAGTCAGAGTATATAAATTTAGAAGAATTGGATGGAGTTACGTACCAGTGGCTCAAGCCTGTAATCCTAGGTACTCAAGAGGCTAAGATCTAAGGACAGTGGTTCAAAGCCAACCCGGGCAGGAAAAATCTGTAAGACTTATTTTCAATAAAGTACCAAAAAGCCAGAAGGGGAGAGCTGTGGCTCAAGTGGTAGAGTGCTAGTCTTGAACAACTAAAAGCTGAGAGAGCGCCCTGGCCTTGAGTTTAAGCCACAGGACAGCAATGAAAACAATAAAATCACATGGATATTTGATATTTAATAAAATTTCTAACATATTGCAGTAAAACATTTAAAATATCAGTTCCTGATTATTTCTTGCTTTGGCAGTTTAGCTGTTCAGAATACCATATATCTGGGTTCTGTATTTTGTTGCAAGTGTTGTAAATGAAAACAGATTAAGACTGAACTAGAGTGAGATGGGAACATGGTCACCAGTTGAATAGGGATTGGAATCAATGGATGGGATTAGTGATGGGTAGGACATTGTGGTGGGGAGTGAAGAGAGAAACCAAATTTGTCTCAGAATTCTAATCTGGAAGACTGGTTAAACCTCTTTCTAGATTAGGGTCCATAAAGGGAGCAACGGACATAGTTGCAGGACAATATGTGGGTATATGTTTGAATATGCATTGTAACAGTGAGCAGATTTAAAAGGGTATGGTGTAGTTTCATCCTCAAGCCCTGGGGTAGTGTACAAATGGCTTGTGTACATATGGTGGTCACATGGAAAGTTACATACATGGATTGAGATTGTCTTGCTAGTCACCTGCCAAGCTAGTGCCTTAGGAATACCAGGAGTGTCTCTGCTTTTCTTCCGTTCTTTCTTTTCCAGCTACAACACTGAAAATCTGAGGGTATACGTTGCCCAAAATTGGGAGCTCATCTGCCTACCACTGTTGGTGAAGTGGATATTTGACCTCAAGAACTAAAACTAAACTTAGAAACAAAAGAAAAATTTGCACGTACATATTCAAGAACCCTCAACTTTTCCATATTGGCTAGGTGCAGATCTGTATTTGCATTTCCCATCTAGTAAAAACATTTACCTGAGTTTCCAATAGGAGTAACACGTTGAATCCTATAATAAAGTTTGTGGTGCAATTCAACAACAAAGCCCTCAACGGATCCAACCTGTCATGCAGGTTCACTTTTGTTGATTGTCAATAGGAAAGTTGTATTATTTGTGAAATGAAAAAAACAAAAAACAAAAAAGATCTGCTTAGAAATATATTGAAGTAATAGAATCACAGACACACACTCTGTTTCTGAATTAGTTTAAAAATGTGACTTCCAGAAGCATGGACTGTAACACAACACGGTCAGTGAAAGGGAATTCCATCCTAGTGAGACCACAAATATACACTTGGCATGTTTATGATACAGAATCTTGTCAACTTCATCTTGTCGGGACAATC